ATCTTAAGTTGTAGTGGAACTTACTATTATTATGTCGGAGACATATGTAAAACAATTTTTGTTTTTGAAATTTGAAATTGTGTTATATTCATGGTTCCAATTTACTTATTTTAGTAGTATTGGCTCACATTGCATGTTGTTCATTTGTAGTTAGAATTGATAGATTAGTTTTGTCAAATATTTGAATAATGTTATGATATTATATTTATAAATATTAATTTATTTTATCAAATATGAATTCCATGATGTTCTTACAAAATGTATATTTTTAGGTTTTGTAAGTATCTAAAATAAATATTATTAATTTGAAATATATATATATATATATATATATATATATATATATATATATATATATATATATATATATATATATATATATATATATATATATTATCTTTACAATATTAGTTATAAATATATGCTTACTAATTAATGTATATTCACGAAGAAATATACTTCTTAAATACAAAATATACTACCATTTATACTTATAAAAATTTATAGGCATATATTTATTTTATTAACTTTTAAGTTTTGGTAATTACTTAATTTAAAATTGAATCTAATTATGTAATTACACTTGTGCAACAGTAAACTTATAATTACACTGTAATTACACTATGACAAACAAACATGTCGTCATAATTACACAATTGTGTAATTACTAGGCTGTGTAATTACTACCCTAATAATTTCACCAATTCCAATTACCTGGTGGCTTTCCAAACAAACCCTAAAAGGTAAAAATCACTTGATTTGCTGATTGCCGGTTCCTTATTGATACGTACCGAGATTTCCGCCGTAATATCCAACCGGTCACGGATATTTCGGTCTTTTGTTGGTTATGCTAACAATATTTCTTCGAGCTCGTTCGGGGTTAGGGTCGATTCCGAGATCACGGACTCAACGTTCTCCGAAGACAGGCATTCTGACCCCGAGTAGTAGTTCGGTGGGACTTGGGGTCGATCTTCAGTCCTTCATGTATACAGTTTTGAATTTTAAATTAGCAGCTTAAAAAGTCAGGATACTTATAGGGTGTTTGGCTAAGCTTATAAGCTAGTCAAACTAGCCTACAAGCACTTATCGGCTTATCTACGTGTTTGGTAAAGTTAAAAGTGTTTATAAGCCAAGTACTTATAAGTCAATATAAGCCAAAAACCATAAGCTGGTCACACCCAGCTTATGAACTTTTAGCTTATAAGCACTTTAAGTTTGACCAAGATTTTTACTATTTTATTCTTAAAATATTCATTTTTAGAACAAAACTCCTACATCGGTACTCACTACCTCAAGTATTCAACCTAAGCCCCCCCCCCCCCCCCCTCCCACACCTCTTCAAGTCTGCAATTCTCATTGACTATTTAAGATAAGTAAATTCTTTATTCCTTTGCATATTTATATCTATGTGATTGTGTATTAATCTGTAAACGATTTGTAATAAATGAGGACATATCAAATTTTGGGTATATTGCTTTCTAAGTGTTGTGGTGATGAAGACAGTGTTTGTTTCTCTTCAAATATTTTGTCCTGTTTAGGTTAATTTTTTACTAAGAAACTTTTGTCAATTTATTAAGTATTATAACTTATGTTATATGCTTATGATAAAATAAATTATATTTATCATAAAAATTATCTTATCAAAGCACAGTTGTATTTAAAATAAAATGACAAATAGAATATTTTGTATTTGAATTGATTTGGAATCTAAAGTTTTGAAGAAATTACTCTCTTATAAGTGTAAACAATTATAAGGTTATTTAAGTCATTTTAACAGAAAAAGAGCTTATCAGCACTTTTTTATCAAATATTGCATCAACTTATTATCAATTTCTGCACTTATACCCAAACACGTAACTGCTTATTTATTTAATCAGTATCAGCACTTAAAAGTGCTTTTCAGCACCTAATGCTTATCAGCTACTTCAAATCAGTTAATCCAAACGGGCTATTAGTCCTGCAGTTTGCTGAATTGGTTACCATTATAAATTATGAATATATTTTAAATAGCAAACTTAAAAGTGACTACGTGCACTTCTCCCGATTTTCCTCGGGGCATTGGGCCACACACATATCAGAGATGCAGCTCTTGGGGCATATTCATCGTACAACGTGAATGAAAAAGCCAATACACAACTCCCCGTGGATATATAAGTTGGAAGTTCTTAAACAGGGATTAGCTAAAGTGGAAAATGACACAGCAATAATCTTTGTGGAAGGCAGAATGGTAGACATCTTTAATTTTGTCGTTGGTTTTTGTGTTCAAAGGTAATAAAGGCAGTTTTGGTGAAGTGCATTCTCTTTTTGTACGTCCACTTGGAGAAAAGGAAGGCTTTTGGGGTTCCTTTTTGGTTATTGAATTAGAAAGAAACTTGCTCTGCTTGTACAGAGGAGGAAGGTGTATTATGACAAAAGAATGTGATACTTTTCTTATCGCAATGACCACCCAAGCCCCGCGAATATGTTTTTTTCCGCGAAAAACATACCCAAGCATTCTCAAAGTCAAATAAATAAAATATGCAAGACGGCAAGTCATTTTTGATTAAAAAAAAATTATATTAAAGTCATTTTCTTTTACCAAATGGAGGAAATGACTTCTCTCACTTTGGCTGAAGCTATTTTCTGTACTACTATCTTAATCCTAACTTCATTTGTTACTTGTTTAAGCTAAATTCCTGTTGTTATTACTAAATTAATACTTAAAAAGTTCATAAAAGACACAACCCACTAATCCACTTTGCTAATATTAATCTTTAATGTTTATGTTAAATGGAAAATATTTTATTCATCAATATTTTGTTGTTGGTAAGGTCTGCATACAGACTACCCTACCCAGACCCCACATATTGGAAATATACTGGGTTATGTTATTGTTGTTATCAATATTTTGCTGAAGTTCGTTCTCATGGAGTAACATTGTAGGCTAGCTACTCTAAATAATAAGCAACACGGGGGCTAAATTGACAAACTAGTGAATAAATGGCTGTGTACCAGTGAATTTGGGATTTTAATTATTGATATACGCGTACATAATTAGATTGATATATATACGCGTACGTAATTATTGATCTTGTGTTTCTTTCATTAATTCAGGTCTGTTAATTAAGACAAGTTTCTGAGCACTTTACTAATTAAAATAACAACATTTTATGTTGTCCCGTATCAGTATATGATTGATCATTCTAAGTGGAAAAGCTCTTTTAATAAATTGATTAAAGGGACTTCTAGTGAGTGGCAATTAATATACGTTGAGTGTACTTGATAGTGACATAAAGCAAAATGAACGCCACTTTTTTCTTTTTCTTTTTCGGGCCTAAAAAAAGAAAGAGAGTTTTGGAGTTGATAAATATAAAGCCTCACTTTAGGAGCCTTTAGCTTTACATGAGGCAAATATACCTACTCACCATTATCGTCTCTTTTTGCTGTAGTCAAAAAGTGGAAACCTTGTTTCTTAACCTAGTAGTTTTCTTTGTGTAATTAGGCTTCTTAAATTTCCTTTAACACACGTGAGTTTGAGATATGTTGGATGTTGGGGACTAATTAAGTGGCGCTAAATCTAATTGGCGTAATTTTTTTAATTCAAAGTTCAAATTGTGAAACTAAAATTCCTTGGTTAAACTTCAACTAAGTTATGGCCATACTTTGGTAAAATGATTGTAAGGTATGCAGAGGCGGACTTAGGATTTGAAAGTGGCGGGACATCACTGTCGACTAAAAATTTAACCAAATACTGGAGCGGAAATCAAACCAAGACAAAAAACTAAAAGTCAAGATGTAAGCCTCAAATCAACCAATGCAACTGCCTAAACTTTGAGTCTTACTATACGAATCAAAATATAATGCACGCTTACCGAAGTAGTGTCACGCGACACCACTTCGTCAGAAAATTTTACTAAATATATGTATTAATACTGTACGGAAACGATAAGTAGGAAAAAATAATACCACTTGACATAAATTGTGTCTTGGTGTGTTGATTATGTGTTTGATTTTGCTCTATGAGGTCAAAGGTTCAAACCTTAACTAGCACATTTTTCTTTTGCAAATATTTGAGAGAGCCTTTATGGAAGGACTGCTAGCAGTGAATTTAAATCTCACACCTCTTGAGATTGAGACAGATTCCACGGAGGTAATCAAAATTCTTGAACATGGTTCCCACGCTTGAGACATTAATTCGCGATTGCAGGTCTTTAATGCTCCAGTTGCATAAGGTGGTAATCAAGCATAACTTCCGAGAAGGCAATAAAGTAGCTCACTTTTTTGGCAAAAAAAGCTCCTAGTCAGTCCAACATCAACAAAACAACTCACTTTTCAGTTCCGCTCCATTAGTAGAATCTATAGTTCATTCTGATAGAGAAGGAACGCATATTGTGAGAATAATTTCGGATAGTATATGCACCAAGTTGGCTGAGCTTGGTAATCAAAATGCCTTAGAAGGCATTTCTATGATTTTGTAATATCTCTGACATCTTTAAGCGTTAATATAAACATTTCTTATTCTGTAAAAATTGTGATAAGTAGAATTGAACTCGTGACATTTTCTAACTTAAGACTCAATAAAATCAATAGACTAAGGCTATTTCTTGTCAAAAAGAATGATAATCAAAGTTATAATTCAGTTCTTCTATAAATTTCGATACCGCTTACAAACCCTGCCTGTAATTTAAGATATATACACATATATTTTTTCCGAAATTATTGAGGGCAATCAATAGGAAAAAAGTTAGAAATGAGGAAAAAAGTAAAGTTAATAAGAGTTGCAATCAATCAAAGGGCATCGTGCTATAACCTGCAAATGCGATTTACGGACACTACGTAAATAATCACCTGTCAGAAAGATTCATGCAGACAATCTAACGTAGAGCTGAAAATCTTAACGGACACGGACCATGGTTAGCTTTATTAACCACTAACCATTCCTAGCCACCTCAGCAATCTTTTTACATGTAACACGTGGCAGTGTCTCATTTGGTACGAAAAATCCACTATAAGTATGAATAGACAGAGAGAGAGGAGAGCCCGAAGTTCCATTATTTTGCTGCTATTTTTTTCTCTTTCTCTCTCAACAATAAAGCTCAAATATTTCCCGGTAAACTCAAATATGGAGAAATCCAATTTCAAATCGAATTCCAATTCCAATTCAAGTTCCAACTCCAATCACAGCTACCACCACCGGAATTTTCACAGGCAGAATAGTCACATATCAATGTCGGACACCGACTCACAGGTGAGTCAAATGGACTCGTTCCACTCACCTCTCCGATCCGACTCACCTCTCCGTTCCGATGAACCCTTTCCCGATCACCGCTCCACCAAGTCACTCTCCTCAAAAGCCTTAGTTTCAGTCGACAAATACTACTCTCCACTTCGATCTCCCCGTAAACCTTCCTGGGAGAATTTAAGCTTACCTCCGACACCTACTCCGCCGTCGGAAGCCGGCAACAAGGATCGGGATTCGGCGCGGACGATGAATTTTAGTAGGGCGGTTAGGGAGGATATGACTACCGGGGTGACGAAGGTGGGACCCGTTCGTGGTGGTGACGTGGAAGGTGGAGAGGTGGCCGGAGGGGAGAGGCCGCCTCCGAGGACACCAGGGCGTTCGAAGAGGGAACTGATGCTGAACAGGGCGGCGTTAGGGTTTAGGGTTTGTGAGTTAATTTTGTGCTGTATTTCTTTCTCGATCATGGTATCTGATAAAACTGAAGGTTGGAGCGGTGACTCTTATGATCGGTACAAGGAGTACAGGTCTTAATTTTCTTTTCCTTATTTTTACATAATACAGTATTAAATATGCGTATTAATTATTGTTGGCAGCTGCTAATTCCCTGTTTCTCATTTATTATTTTCCAATAATTACTTTCCATGACATTTTGTGATGTTAGACCTTTTATATTATGTCACAGGTATTGCGTCGCTGTTAATATTATTGGATTTGTATACTCTGCATTTCAAGCATGTGATCTAGCATACAATTTGGCAAGCTGGAAACACTTTTTCTCTCACCACGTGCGATATCATTTTGATTTCTTGATGGATCAGGCAAGTAATGCCGTTTGAACTTTTCTACTTGGGTAACATGTACTTCTAGTTTGAGTATTGATTTTAGTACTTGGGTTAGAATTGGATTATTGGATGTTACTTCTTCATTGTGGCTGTTACTATGCTGCTAGACAGAAAGGTCAAATAAACTGCTTCTTTGGAGAAAAATGGCATTCCTTGACCTTTTCAAATGTCCAAGCTTTTTGGAGCATCTTAGTGCATTTTAGATCAGAGTCCTCTAAGTTCTTGTTGTGGTTTTGTTCTGAAGAAAAACTTTTGTTCTTAGGAGCTAGCAGATAAGAAAATCATGTTGATGCCTCATTTACACTTTACAATACCTAGTTCAGCATTTAAAGACCAAGGTTATGTGTGGTTGCACTATATCATGAGATAGGAAGTGTGAGGGGAACCCACCCTTTACAAGGGATCAGCGATACAATGAATTTAAACTCATAGTATGCCAGTCATGCTAAAAAGAGAGATTGGTGAGGTGAACCAGATAAAAGAGATGCCGGTCATCTACTATGCTTCCTTGTTTTTTTGGGGGGTGGGGGTGGGGGTGGGGGTGGGGGTGGGGGAGGAGGGATGGCCTATACTTCACTAATCCTATGTTTTCACTGGTCAATTTAATTTATCATGAGAGCTCTGTTGCATACGAAAGTATATGAAACTATCTTGATATGAATTGAATGTTATATACTATCAATGAATAAGCTTTGTGGCACAAATCATTTCGTTTAGATCACGTCTTAACGACTAAGGCTTTCATCACTGATGTAGATGAAGATAGGTCCCCCCGCCGCCTTCAGCCTCCAGTGGACTTCTTGACCATTTTATCTTTTTCGTCAATTTGTAGTAACCACGAAACTATTTAAATAAAGAAAGTCAATGTCTTTTTATCTGATAATGTTCCTCAGCTTTTATCTGAAAGACTTCAAACATGGTACCAAATTCTCTGTTTACTTCGTTGAGTTTCAAAAATTCATATATGTAACCATAAACCTTGTGTCATATGTGAAAGGTATTTCCCAGCATGCGTGTTGGCTTACAAAATTATACTCATTTTCCTGTTTCCACTAGGAGAAACCTTATTAGGAGATGTTAGGTTGCAGCATATTTTAGCATGTTCTAGTTTTCGTATGCGAGTTTTTGAACAATTTTAGAATTTAATGGAAAAACTAGCAAAGTCAAAAAGCTGTGGTTTTCATGCATGCAGGAGAATTGAGATATTCTTATACTGAACCTCCTAGAAAAGTAAAATATGCACTTAGCCTTAACCTCCTAGAAAAGTAAAATATGCACTTAGCCTTAAAAATCTTTCCTTACTTCATAGTGGTGATAGAACAACTGTCTTGAATCCTGGTCACTACTCTGCTTCTTACTTCTGCTGCTGTTTTATGTATTACTGGCTCTCAATTTTTGCTTTTCTGTACAGATATTGGCTTATCTTCTTATGTCAGCATCTTCTTGTGCTGCAACGAGGGCAGATGACTGGATATCAAATTGGGGAAAAGATGAATTTACAGAGATGGCAACAGCATCTATTGGGTTATCCTTCCTGGCTTTTATAGCCTTTGCATTTAGCTCCCTCATATCTGGTTACAACCTCTGCAACCGTAATTCCTCGTGACCCGAGAATGAGTTCATATTAGTCGTTGAGTATATTTGAGTATCGCTACATAAAATTTTATTTCTAGCTGGAAAAGCTGTACAGATTTAGCGAATAGAATCAACTGTATAACTGTTCTTTTCCTACTACAGATAAATAAGATGTGCAGATGTAGTTAGCTAAGTACTGTGTTGGAGTATGTATAAAATGTGAGGGAACCCAAGAGATGAACCAGAAACCAATAGCGAAGAGGTCGTATTCTCAACGTCGTCCTTTTGTTTTTTGGTTACTAAAGCTAGAATCACAGTTAATGTTAATATTTTTTTGGCAGAGAATGAGAAGCCCCTCAGTATCCTTGTAGTATTCAGAGTTGTGAAAACAAATTAAACGGATATTATTTGCTAGTCGTGTCTCGATTAGGCGATAAAGCACTACATTTAATTAGAAACACCAGAAAAAACATACCCTCCGTTTCAATTTAGATGAGGTATTTTGAATCGGAGTTTAAAAAAAAAACTTTTGAAATTTGTTGTCTTAAAAGCATAAGGGGTAAAAGCTTTGTGGGGCCATGATATTTTTGTGGTTATAAAAACTTCTCATTAAGGATAAAATGGATAAAATAAAGAGTTTAAAGTTGAATTATTTCAAAATTTAGAAATGTGTCATTTATTTTGGAACGTTAAAAAGGAAAGTAGCTCAAACTACAAGAGTTTAAAGTTACAATAAGAAGTTGCTCACACACAGAGAAAATGCAAGCCAGGAGAGTGGCCTTTTAAAAAGTCTTGAAACGTAGTTGACGCTTAGATAAAGGTCCTTACAACTCTGCATTCACATGTTAATCCAATATAGTGGCTTTGAGCTAATGTAAAAAAGAAATAGAAAAAAAAAGTATTTCTCTTAAAGAAACACTAGGAAACAGCAAAAGGAAAAAGAAAAACAATGGGATATTCACATTTCTCTGCTACGTGAGAGAATTTCCATGGAAAAAGTATTCGGGATCAAGAGATGTATGGTAAGTAGATATACGATTTGATATCCCAAATCAGTAAAATATCACATTGGAACAAAGTTATTGATCTTGTAATTGAGGGGAAAAAGTGATCCTGTTATATTGGATGGATTAGTCTTCGTTCAGCTTAAGATCGGTATGATAAAATAATTTTTTATAAAAATACTTATTCAATATATTTTCCAAAAATAAATTACTAGTATACATATCTTCTAGATATCTATTTAGTTAGAATAGGATTAGTATTATACTCTTATGCTAGTATTTATTTATACTGCATTAGAGAGTTGTAAAAATATGCTTGTATTCTTGTTGGGTGGACAACTTATAAATACAAAACCCTTACCCTGTTTAGGGGAAGCACAACATTTGTACAAATTATCATGGTATCAGATACAAGCGGCGATCCTGAGTATTAATTCCGTCATCGTTCGGTGTTTCTCTCTCCGGCGACTTCGTCTTTCCGTTACTCCGTTGTTGTTCTTCTTCTACGTTCTCTGCTGCTACGGGCACTTCGTCGGCTTCGGTTGTTAACAAGTCCTTCTAATTCTTTATCATATTTGCTTATTCACGTTGAATTTAAAGTGGAGTTTCCTCTATCTACACCTATTCTTTGTGTCCTCATCGACAGCGGACAAACTCTAACGATTATATCAATTGAGTTTAGGTACTGCCACCGTTTTTTTGTTATTGATTAGGTGTTATTAGTTGGGTAATCTTTTTATTGGAATTGTATTTAACTTGCTTTGGTGGTTCGATTACTTTGTGCAACGTGATTCTTCTTGGATTAGCATTATTCTGCTTTTACATGATGGCATCTGCAATCCCTTTCTCTGTTCATATAAAGGATTTGGTCCCTAAAATATTGCACCGAACTAATTATTTGAAATTAACTCACTTACTTCAATCGGTGTTGGAGATGTATGATCTCATTGGCCATATTGATGGTTTTAATGTGACACCTTTACAATTTCTGTCTGTTACTGAGGGTTCATCATCTGTTCAGCAAATTAATCCTGAATATGCAAAGTGGTGTAAGGTTGACCGTCTTATTATTACTTGGATTCATGCTACTATACATTCTGATCTCATTCCTTTACTCTATGATTGCCCTACTGGTGCTGATGCTTGGTCTAGGCTTAAAATACATTTTCTTCATCAGTCTACTGCCCGTGAGATGCAGTACAAACATAGTCTTCAGACATTTAAAAAAGGAGACCTATCTATTGATTCATACATGGCAAAGATACGTGAATTTGCTGATTGCCTTCATTCTATCGGTTGTGGTGTGGATGACCCTGAATTGGTACGTTGTGCTTTGAATGGTCTTCCTGTCTCTTATGAATCATTTATTGTCATGGCTTCCTATATGCACCCTCCTCCGACTTTTGCAGAGCTGTGGACTATGCTCAATACCCACGAGGTGCGCACTCTGCCTACAAGTGATGTGGCCTCTGCTCCTATGCCTACCACTTTGTTAGCTCATTTTCTGATGTTACTTCATCTTCTCCTGTTGGTCCATCTTCTGGCCGAGGTAACTTTGGTCGTTCTAGAAACTATCGTGGGCAATCTTATCGTGGTCGTGGCTCTGGTCGACGAGGTCGTGGTTCTCCTTTTCAGCTGTCTTATGGAGGTCATTATCAGCATAATGTTCGGCATCAGTCCACAGTTCCTCATGGATATGATAAGGGTGTTCTTGGTGCTTCCCCTATTCAGCTGCCTCCATTTGCTATGTCGAACCCGACTACTCCTATGGTTACTTGTCAGATTTGTAGTATGACTGGCCATACAACTATCTCTTGCCCGCAGCGTCATAATTATTCATTTGCTCCCACCACAGCTCAAGCACACTTGGCATCATTGTCTCTCCATTCCTCGACTGACGGGAATTGGTACTTGGATTCGGGAGAGACCTCACACATGTCTTTTGACCAAGGTAATATTTCTTCTCCTACTCCTACTTTCAATAATTCTATACTTGTTGGCAATGGTGAATCAGTTCCTATTCATTCTATTGGTTCTTCCTCCTTGTCCACTTTGTCGCATACTTTTTTCTTGCCCTCTGTCTTATGTGTTCCACTTCTTCGTAAAAAGTTACTTTCTGTTCGTCAATTTATCAAAGATAATATTTGCTCAATTGAATTTTTTCCTAGGGGTTTTGTTGTGAAGGATTTGCAGACGGGGAAAATCCTCCACAAATGCCATAGTGACGGGCCTCTCTATCCATTTTTTCAACTTGCTCCCTGCTCGTCTTCCTCTTCATCAGAAGCCCCCGCTGTCTCCTTGGTTCCTGCATCAGATTGGCATGCTCGTCTTGGTCATCCAGGATCACCAGTCCTTGCGTCACTTAGGTTTAGAAATTTTATTTCTTTTAATAATACCCTTGGGTCGTTCTTTTGTAATTCTTGTTTAACTTCTAAGCATTCTACTTTACCATTTTCTATTAGTACTTCTTCTTCAACTCATGTGTTAGAATTGATTCACTCTGATGTATGGATGTCACCTATTTCCTCTGTTACTGGATTTCGATATTATGTTATTTTTATTGATGACTTTTCCAAGTATTTGTGGCTTTATCCATTGCGGAGTAAAAGTGAAGTTTTTCATTGCTTTTGTGCATTTTAAGCTCGTGTGGAAAAGCAATTTTCTGCTTCTATCAAATATTTTCGTTCTGATGGTGGGGTGAATTCACTAGTGCGCAATTCTTGACATTTTTTTCTAGTAATGGTATTATTTTTCAGCACTATTGTCCTCACACACCACAACAAAATGGTGTAGTTGAGCGCAAGAATCGCCATCTTGCTGATATGGCTCGTACTCTCCTTTATCATGCCAAAGCTCCGCTAAATCTTTGGGTTGAGGCTTTTGAAACAACCACATACTTGATAAATCAGCTATCGACTCCCTTACTCAATTGTTCCTCTCCCTTTCGTCTTCTTTTTGGGATTGATCCCGACTACTCTATTTTACGTCCATTTTGGCTGCCTCTGTTACCCCAATTTGCGCCCTTATCGAATTCACAAACTAGATAATCTCTCATCTCCTTGTATCTTTATTGGCTATAGTTCCAATCACAAAGGACGATGTCTCCGTCTTGATATTCAACGTGTTTATACAAGTCGATTTGTTCGCTTTGTCGAACATCGCTTTCCCTATGCCACTCCACATCTTCGTCCTTCTTTCCTTAATTTTTCTTCCTCTACTTGTCATACCCCATTGCCTCAGCCCTCCCGCGTTGTATCACCTACTACAGTACACTCTAATTCTCCCTCTTATGATGTTCTTGCTCCTCCTACATCTCAAGTTTTGCTTGACCATTCTTCTATTGCTCCTCAGAGTTCTTCCGCATTGCCTTCGTCTAGTTCCACACCATCTATACCTATATCTCCTGATCATTCTACATCAATTCCCTCCGTGCCTCCTACTTCACCATTGCCACCTCCTTCTCATCCTATGGTTACCATGTCAAAAGTTGGTGTTGTCAAACCCAATCAAAAGTATGCTTTACTTGCTCAGTCTCTATCTGAATTACCTGTTGAGCCATCTTGTTATAGTTCTGCGGTTAAGGATTCTCGTTGGCGTACTACTATGGATGATGAGTTTAATGCTCTTCTAGCTAATCATACATGGTCTCTTATTCCCCGCCCTCCAAATATCAATGTAGTTGGTTGTAAATGGGTATATCGGGTTAAGCAAAAATCTGATGGATCTCTTGATCGTTGTAAGGTATGTTTAGTAGCTAAGGGATATACACAGTCTTATGGTGTGGACTATGGTGAGACATTCAGTCCGGTGGTTCGTCCTGCTACTATTAGACTAGTTCTTTCTATTGCCTTATCTCGTGGATGGCATATTCGTCAATTTGATGTTAAAAATGCATTTCTTAACAGTTTACTAACTGATACTGTTTATATGGAGCAACCACATGGCTTTCAGGATTCTCACTATCCCCATCATGTTTGTAAGCTTCATAAGGCTCTCTATGGTCTTAAGCAGGCTCCCCGGGCTTGGTTTGCTCGATTTGGCCACTTTCTTATCTCTCATGGATTTTCTAACAGTCGAGCCGATAGCTCCTTATTTGTTTATAAATCTGGAGAACGATATTTATATCTTCTCCTTTATGTGGATGATATTATCCTTATAGGGTCAGATTCTTCGTTGTTATCATGGTTTTCTGACATGCTACATGTTGAGTTTTCTATTAACGATCTTGGAGATCTTTATTTTTTTCTTGGAGTTCGTGTTTCTCGCACTTCCGCATGTCTTCATCTTTCTCAGGCTAAGTATGCTCGGGATATTCTTGATAGAGCTGGTCTTATTGGTTGCAAGCCAGTTGCTACTCCAGTATCTTCTTCTACTTCTTTGGACTCTTCACTCTCTTCTGCAGTTGACAACTCCCTTTATCGCAATTTGGTTGGTGCTTTGCAATATCTAACATTAACGCGACCAAATATTTGTTATGCTATTAATAGTGCCAGTCAACATATACAGTCCCCTCAGTCTCATCATTTTTCAGAAGTCAAACGCATTTTAAGGTATGTTGCTGGTACATTGCATCACTGTCTTCTGCTACGTCCTTCGAATTCTATCTCATTAACTGCTTACTCTGATGCTGATTGGGCTGGTTGTCCTGATACTCGACGCTCTGCCTCTATTTCTCTTTTATTTTTTGGTAATAATCTAATCTCTTGGTCTTCTAAGAAGCAACACACCGTGTCTCGCTCTAGCACAGAGGTTGAATATCGTGCCATGGCACACACTGTTGCTGATATTCTTTGGGTTCAGGAATTATTGCGTGATCTTCATATTTATCTTCCAGATCCTCCTCTTGTTTATTGTGACAATATTAGTGCATTATACCTGACTGTGAATCCTATCTACCACTCACGGACAAAGCATTTAGCTGTTGATTTCCATTTTGTTCGTGAACGGGTTGCTTCTGGTTCTATTTTGGTGCGCTATTTACCAACCTATCAACAACTTGCTGATATTCTTACTAAAGGTCTTGTTTCCCAGAAGTTTAAACATCTTAGAGACAATCTCTACATGCATCCATGTGTCGATTGAGGGGGCGTGTTAGAATAGGATTAGTATTATACTCTTACGCTAGTATTTATTTATACTGCATTAGAGAGTTGTACAAATATGCCTGTGAATGTACAGTGGACAACTTATAAATACAAAACCCTTACCCTGTTTAGGGTAAGCACAACATTTGTACCAATTCTATCATTTAGCGCCGACTCTAACGTTATCACAAGTAAGGCTTGTACCTTAGGTGTCACGACCCCAGTTCACCCTCCATGAACATGTCGTGATGGCACCTAGTTCCTACAACTAGGTAAGCCTATCAATGCGGAAATAACAACTTAACTAGCGAAATGGTTAAATAAAGCTAAACATGTTAAAATAATAACTGCATATAAGGCCGCTCGGCCTATACAACTCAAAAGAAATGCGGAAGTCTACAACTCAATCCCAAAACCCGGAAACTCACGGGAACCACAGGCTAACAGAAACATAGTACGCTGCTCCAACTCCTGAATATCTAAACAACTGAGAGAAAAGGATAGAATAAATACTAAAGCTGGAACAGAATAGAGACTCCTGGTCTGCGGACGCGGCAGATATACCTCGAAGTCTCCGTGTATCTCCGCCTCAAGGATAATGCGCCTGAGAAGAGGTACCTGGATCTGCACATGAAAAACATGCGCAGGAAGGGCATGAGTACACCACAACGGTACTCAGTAAGTGCCAAGCCTAACCTCGGTTGGGTAGTGACGAGGAAGGTCAGGGCCCTACTGAGGTAAAATATAATAATAATCAACAGTATGAAATTCTGTCAGAAATAATGAGTACAGCATGAGATAAGACAGGTCAACGAGGCAATAACAACTACACAAAGAACAAAATAAACACAGAATGACTACAGCTCAATACCAAGGATAACAATGAGGGTCTTCCAGGATACTTTCCTGTAGCCCTTTCCTCAACTGTCCAAAGGATCTCCCGGGATACCTTCCCGTAGTCCAACTCATTTGCCAAACCGAAGGATCTCCCAGGATACTGTCCCGTAGTCCAACCATCAATATGCAGGGGGATCTATCGGGAATCTAACCCGCAGTCCCAAAGTAAAAGTGCAGGGGGATCTACCGGGAATCGAACCCGTAGTCCCAAAGTAAAAAACAAGGGGGGAGCTACCGGAATCCCACATTCGTAGTCCCAATATAAATGCACAATCACAACCAGAAGGTACACGGAACCGAAGTACAAAAGACAAGCAAATAGGTAGTACTGGCCTAGCATGCTTCACGTAGTACAGTCAAGGCAACTTAAACAATTAGGCAAGTTAAATCAACTAAACATGCTTTCCTAATCTAGCACAGGTTATAATTGCAAGTAGAATAAAGTAAATATGAGAGGAACTCAATCTCACTATCGTAAGTAAAATCAGGATTTTCAACAATTGGCTCAAGTACGCGCTCGTCACCTCGCGTACAAGGCACTCAAAATAACAAATAACAAATCCTAAGGGGAAAGGTCCCCCACACAAGGTTAGACAAGCCACTTACCTCGAACCGGCTCAATATCAACTAGAAACCACGCCCTTACCACGAGTATCCGACTCCAAATGACCCAAATCTATTCAATTCAATTATACATTGTAAATAACATCGCAAATAACTGGTTTTGCTATTTAATTCAAAGCTATGGCGTGAAATTAGGTGAAATGACCAAAATGCCCTTCAGACCAACGTCTCGAAATCGAATAATTTTCACTTTTTCATAAACCTCGTACTCTCACGAGTCTAACCATATAAATATCTCCCAAATCGGAGGTCAAATGCTCACTCAAAACTCAATAGTTTAGCCTATGAAGTTTTACCCAATTTCTTCCAATTTTGATACCAAATTCGAATTTTAATGATGGATTTAACTACAAAATGATGAAATATAACTAGAAGGGATTAAAGGAACGTTACCCAATAGTTTTCTCTTCAAAACCCTCTGAAAATCGCCCTTACCCGAGCTCAATTTGGTTTTTCTAACTTATGAAATCAAACCCTCGAATTTTCTATATCAGAACAGGCATTTCCGCTTCTACTTATGCGGTCCCGCTTATGCGGAAACAAGCCGCTTCTGCGGTCTACAGTTAAATGGTCAGGACCGCATCTACGAGAAATGAGTCGCAGGTGCGAAAGCGCATCTGTGAGGGACAATCCGCTTCTGCGGAAACTAACGAAACGCTGGAGCCGCATCTGCGATGCCTGAGCCGCTTCTGCGGCTCCGCTTATGCGAGAATAGCACTGCTTCTGCGGTTTCTGAGGGAAAGGAGCAAAGACACTTCTGCGGTTATTTAGCCGCCTCTGCGGCGCCGCATCTGCGGTTCCCAAGCCGCAGATGCGAAAATACCAGAGGCAGCAATGGTTCAGCTGTTGCAACACTTCAAAATTTCTTCCGTTAACCACCCGAAATCATCCCGGGGCCCCCCGGGACCTCAACCAAAAGAACCAATAACACCTAATACCTCATTCAAACTTGTACCAATCCTTAAACCACCTAAAACAATGTCGAAAACTCGATTAATTCAAGGATTTGAGCCTAAGAACTTCAAATTCCATCAAAATACATTTTCGATCAAAAATCCAACCAAAACACGTCCGAATGACCTGAAATTTTGCGCACATATCCCAAATGACACGACGGAGCTACTGCAACTTCCGGAATTCCATTCCGGCCCTCGGATCAAAATTTACTATCGGACTGGAAACTTCAAAAATTCAACCTTCGGCATTTCAAGCCTAAAAGAGCTACGGGCTTCCAAAATACATTCCAAACACGCTCCCAACCCCGAAATCACCTAACGGAGCTAACGGGACCATCAGATTTCCATTCCGAGGTCGTCTTCACACTGTTCCGACTACGGACCACTTTTCCACACTTAAGCTCTCATTTAGGGACTAAGTGTCCCAAAACTCTCCGAAACTCAACACCGAACGTCCCGGCAAACCAAAATAGCAGAAATGAACTTAGGGGAAGCAGTTAATAGGGGGATCGGGGCGTAAATTCTTAAGACGACCGGCCGGGTCGTCACATCCTCCTACACTTAAACATTCGTTCGTCCTCGAACGAGCATAGAGAACATACCTGAAGTAGTGAAAAGATGAGGGTACTGGCTGCGTATATCCCGCTCGGTCTCCCAAGTCGTCTCCTCGGCCGGCTGACCCCGCCACTGAACCTTCACTGAAGCAATGTTCTTCGACCTCAACTTTCTGATCTGTCTGTCCAGTATAGCCACTGGCTCCTCAACATAGGATAGATCCTTGTCCAACAGGACTGAACTGAAATACAACACGTGAGACGGATCACCGTGATACCTCCGGAGCATCGAAACATGAAATACCAGATGAACTCCAGCCAAACTGGGAGGCAAGACAAGCTCATAGGCAACCTCCCCAACTCGCCGCAAGATCTCAAAAGGGCCAATAAACCTCGGACTCAACTTTCCTTTCTTCCCAAACCTCATGACGCCTTTCATAGGCAAAACCCGAAGCAGAACCCGCTCACCAACCATATATGAAACATCACGAACCTTCCTGTCCGCGTAACTCTTCTGTCTGGACTGAGCTGTACGGAGTCTATCCTGAATCATCTTAACCTTCTCCAATGCGTCCTGAACCAACTCTGTGCCCAATAGCCTGGCCTCACCCGGCTCAAACCAACCCACCGGAGATCTACAGCTCATACCATATAAAGCCTCATACGGCGCCATCTGAATGCTGGACTGATAGCTATTGTTGTAAGCAAACTCCGCCAATAGCAAGAAATGATCCCAAGACCCTCCAAACTCAATCACATACGCACGGAGCATATCCTTAAGAATCTGAAAAGTGCGCTCGGACTGTCCGTCCGTCTGGGGGTGAAATGCTGTACTCCACCTGAGTGCCTAACTCCTGCTGCACGGCTCTCCAGAACCGCGATGTAAACTGGGTACCTCTGTCTGACATAATAGAAACTGGAATACCATGCAGCCGGACAATTTCCCGGATATAAATCTCTGCCAACCGCTCCGATGAATAAGTGGTACGCACAGGAATGAAATGAGCGGATTTGGTCAGCCGATCCACAATGACCCAAATGGCATCAAACTTCTTCAAGGTCTGTGGGAGTCCCGATACAAAGTCCATGGTGATGCGCTCCCACTTCCACTCTGGAATCTCTATCTGCTGAAGCAACCTACCAGGGCGCTGGTGCTCATACTTCACCTGCTTGCAGTTGAGGCATCTAGACACATAACCAACTATATCCTGCTTCATCCGCCTCCACCAATAGTGCTGCCTCAAGTCCTGATACATCTTCGCGGCACCCGGATGGATGGAATACCGCGAACTATAGGCCGCTGCTAGAATCAACTCTCGAAGACCATCACCATTGGGCACACAAATCCGGCCCTGCATCCTCAATACCCCGTCATCTCCAATGGTCACATCTTTGGCATCTCCACGCTGAACCTTGTCCTGAAGGACAAGCAAATGAGGGTCATCGTACTGCCGCTCCCTGATACGATCAAATAAGGAAGACCGGGAAACCACACAAGCTAGAACCCAACTGGGCTCTGAAAGATCCAATCTCACGAACTGGCTGGCTAAGGCCTGAACATCCATCGTCATAGGCCTCTCTGAAGCTGGTAAAGATGCCAAACTCCCCAAACTCTCTGCCCGGCGACTCAAGGCATCCACCACTACATTGGCCTTGCCCGGGTGATACAGGATAGTGATGTCATAATCCTTCAGCAGCTCTAACCACCTCCTCTGACGCATATTAAGATCCTTTTGCTTGAGTAAGTGCTGCAAACTCCGATGGTCAGTATAGATCTCACAAGGCACACCATACAAATAATNATCTGCGAGAAATGAGCCGCAGGTGCGAAAGCGCATCTGCGAGGGACAATCCGCTTATGCGGAAACTAACTAAACGCTGGAGCCGCATCTGCGATGCCTGAGCCGCTTCTGTGGCTCCGGTTATGCGGGAATATCACCGCTTCTGCGATTTCTGAGGGAAAGGAG